GTCCCTGTTCCCTAGTATATCTTATCAAACTACTACCTGAAAATAACTTAATCAGACAGAATAATTGCCTGTGTTGGTGTGCAGGGCATTTTAAGTAAGGAAAAAGGAACATTCTACTTTATAACAGGACACAAGTGCTGAATACAGGAAATTAAAAATTGTGGTTTTTTTGCAGTAAATTCTTGAGTCCAAACAAAAGACTATTGTATACACTGGAAAAAAGAATGATCCAATCCAACTTTGAAATAATATTATGTTATTAACATTACCTTTCATGCTTATCGGTCGTTTAAAGATCAGCTTAGAGATAAATTAGGGTTGGGGTTAAAAGGCCAAAATAGTGGCATTAAAAGGTCAAAGGGTCCAATAGTGACTTTATGTCCTCGGGGGCTCTGACAAGGATCGCCCCAGTGGGTGTTTCTCGGGTTGGTCTTTAATGGGGTGGTTGCAGTCTCTGCCCGTTTCTTTATCAGGGGGGTTCAGGTTATTTGCTGAGCCTGGTGGGAGCCAAGACTTCTATATGGATCAAGAAAATCTGGATAAACCCCAAAAATGCTTTTTTTTAAAAGAATGTATTTATCATTAACATATATATTGTTGTACTATTATTATCATATATTTATTTGTCTTTTCTTGCAGAATATGGATATTTTTGAGTGGGGAAGGAGGAACGTTTTTTTGTTGCTGTTTGAGTGAATCGTATCTGAAAAATGTATATAAACATGTCGTACTGACACAGCATAACATGAAAAAAGCTTGAGTTTGAGTGCCAAGTAGACACAGTCAGATGTAAAGCAGCTGCAGTACAGCAAGTTGATATGTGAAGTTTAACAGAAGCAAGAGACCACATCACATAATTCAAGTGTTCAAATGTTTTTGTAAATTCCCTTGATTCAAATGTGAGATTAACTTTCTAGGTTAGAGGTTGCTTCAAGTTTTCCAACATTCAACTAATGTTTGAGTTCACCTGTCAAATGAAATTGACTGAATCTCACTCACCGGTTTTGGATTATCACAAAGATCACAGGCAGCATATTTCCTTACCTTAATAGGAACAAATTATCTTAGGTCTAAACTCGTTTGACTATTGATGTGGACTACTGTTACCTCATTGCCAAACCCATTGACACACAAAATTAAATAACTGAATCACTTTTTTGTGAAATAACTGTATGTATGTATGTATAACAATGGCACACTGATGGAGGTTACATAAGCAAATTAACATCTGCGCACTGTCGTAAGCTCTGTGATGATCCACATACTTGGATCCTCCGCACATCTTGTGACTGACTTCTTCCCGAAAAGAAAAATGCTCTTTAAAAGGTGGGCGGACGTTTGGGAGTTGAGCCTCAGCTGTGGTGAGGTTCAATTGGAGTGACGGCACCTTTTACGTTGGATGCCTGTTCATGCATTTCCTGTTAAAATTATTCTTGGTCAATTCAGAGGAACTTTTCTCTCTTTTTTCGCCCAGTCATAAAGGGCCTAATGTCAGGTCTCGGTAGGAATAGGCTGCCAACGCAAATAAAATGAAAGACGGAATAGCTCAAAGCAAGTATACTACGACAGACACTTATTTGATCCATTCATCCATTTAAACTAAGGTTAATAACTGAAGACACCGTAGACTGTCAGGGCTTCTTCTCTCTTTACCTAGCTCTATACATTGTCGGTTTATAAGATTTGTAAAGTCTCGAAAATAATTCACTGCATCTAGGATACACTTCAAATTGCCTGAAAATGGTAACAACGTGCTAAACCATGTGTGAGGCAGGTACAGTCCCAAGATATAAGAGGCAGTTGAAAGTGAGACTCGCTTTCACCTTTCTAGAAATAACCTGAGAAGAGTTGCAAGAAGTCGATAATGTCGTAGATGACATTAAAATACCGTAATTTTCAGACTATAAGCCACGCCTTTTTCCCTATTTTTCGACGCTGCGGCTTATATAACGGTGCGGCTAATCTATGGATTTTTACAGCTAACGGCCAACACCTTTAACTCTATGGGCTCTATGGCCGGTCCGCGGACCCCCACCTTTAAGCGGCGGGTTCCAGCAGGAAAAGCTGGAGGCCGGAAAAGAGTGAGACAGGTAGCGCGCAAAAGTAAAAGTGGAACCGAGAGTGATATGCCGCTGCTGCGGCTTATATTCAGGTGCGCCTTATAGTCCGAAAATTACGGTACTTAAAAAAGGTTAGAAATAGAAGTTTCAGTATTTACAATTGACGAAATGCACATCCAGTACCAGTAACAGTTTTGAGATATCGCAGCCAGTTGAAAGTCCTGCGTTCAAAATTGTACTTAAGTAAGTTAAGTAAATACTGTTATAAATATGAATAAAGTGTAATGGCCCAGTAGTCAATGCTATTGGTATTAAGCAGAGACAACAACAGCAACTATTTGGTACTTTTGATAACTTACTCAACATTACATTACATGCTACTTGTTAGACGCTTTTTCTCCAAAGCNATATATATATATATATATATTAGGGCCGGGACTCGATTAAAAAAAAAAATCTAATTAGAGGCTTTGTAATTAATTAATCGAAATTAATCGCATTTTTAATCACAATTAAAAATGCGATTAATTTCGATTAATTAATTACAAAGCCTCTAATTAGATTTTTTTTTTTAATCGAGTCCCGGCCCTAATATATATATATATATATATATACTAAAACATGTTTAAACATTTTCGCATTTGAGATCCTGCAAACAATATGTTCTACCATTACTGAATGAATAATTATTCTAAAATAGGCATAACATGAAGCTTTTTCCAGGGGTGGTGTTTATTCATGACATTTGAATATTAACCCACCTACAGCCTTAGCAGTAAGCTTGCATATGTAATGCTAATATGCTTTGGTCACTGTTTCACATTAAAACCATGTATGCTTATTGACATGCACATGCACACATTGCATGTCAAAATATGTAAATGTAGGCAAACTTTTGGAAGGTGACTCCTGTGCAAAATAATCTTATCGCAGCTCAGAGAGGTATACTGCACCTTGGTGGATGTCTTGAATATAGATGGACACGCACGCACGCACGCACGCACGCACGCACGCACACACACACACACACACACACAGTTTTTACAACTCAGTTGCCCATATGCCCAAGCAGATACCATATGGTCTGCAGCACTCACCCGCTAGCCTTTTTTTTTCCTTTCAATGGACATGCCAACTCGTTTTAGTAAGAACCTGCTCTAGAGTTGATGGTATGGCCTTAAATAATCTCTATCCGCTTGATTAAAATTAGAATTTTAGAATAGAGAAGTTCAGGAATATGTCCTAAAAAAAGCATTTTAGCACTCCCTGGCTTTCTTTTCTCAATGTCGGTATATTTTTTCTAAGTTATTGGTGTGATGCCTGAAATAAGGTCTGTGGTTAGCACAAGCTTTTCCCTTTTTGTTTTACAACATAAAATACATTAATACAAATCCCAATCCTGAAGGGAAGAAGCTTCTATTTACTCAAAATGGCAGGTTGCCAAAATGTGTTAAAAGTGGACTATGTAAAATGTTCATGCCATACATTGGCCGTTTTGAGCTTAGCGCTGTTGAAGTGATGCTACAGTAGGTGACCTTGATACCGTTTGTTCATAGCATATGCTACTTCTGGCGATTGTGCTTGTGCTTAATTTACCCTTTGTTCAACTGTTCATGCTGAACACATGGTAGCAATATAATCTTTCCAAGGCCATCCATTTATAAAAACCTTTTATCTTATAATATCAAAGCTGTGACTTCTGGGCGAGGTACAGTCTTGGTCTATAAAATGGGTGGAAAACATTTTCATCCCAGTTTACAAAGTCCAAGGTTATTTCTATAAATTGTTTGTTTTTGTAGGCCAAAGAAAATCAATTTAATTGCTGAACAAATGGTTTGTATACAGAATTGTTCCAAGGCTGTCCATTGATAAAAACCTTTTATCTATATAACAACATAATGTTTGTTTGCCACAATGCTTATCTCTGCAATGTTCCAAAATCAATTGAAAAAGTCCCGTTGCTTTTACCGAGGGAGCCATTAAGGTTGGGCACTGCACCACTATGTACATAATAATACTGGTCCTCCAATGTAAATTACCAAGTGTCAGCGTTAAATGTGCTACTGTTTTGGACGCCTGACATAGTTTTCATTGTTTTTCCGTTGCCACTATTGAAAGTTAATTGTTGTCTGTTTGCTTGGGCAGTGTTAGACAAGTAACATGATTAATCCAGAAGCCTTCTACTAAGGTTTAATATATGCTAAACCTAGCATATTTCCTTTTTTTTCCTTCTTCCTTTTGCCATCCCTGCTTCTGTACCAGTATAAGTACACTATAAGTAATGTGATTGGACGCTGCGGCTGTGTGTGCTCCTCTTCCCCACACCCCTTTGGATGTGTTAGTTGTTTACTGCCACTCCGTTTTAACTGCAGTTTTTTGTGGTGGTATTGATGTGTTTCGGGCTGCTTTGAGTCAAGTCGCTCGGTGCGGGGTCAGGAGGGGGTAGGCCTGCGGTTTCTTCTTCTGTAGTGGTGACGTCCTACTGACTGCCTGCAGAGACTCTTGGCCTTGATTCTTTTCATCGCTGCTTCAGGTTGAATGTGCTGAATCCCTTAAAAAAATTAATATGCCAGCTTTGTTTAAGAAATCATACACCCTGGCAAGCACAAGTCAGGCAAGTGTGATCTATACAGTAAATAGCAGGGTGCGTCTTAGGGGTGGGGGACATATTAATACAGTAATGCAAAATACTATTAATAATAAAAATACAATTTAAAGCTTTTGGCATAAATTGCTAATTTCAGTTCACTTAATGGAGTTTTTTGTTTCTGATGAGATCATAGGTAAAAAAAAAGATGTAGACTAACCCTAACCCTCTGATTTCTTTTAAATGTAGCTTGAAGTGAAGTTTTTTTTAAAGATATTAAATAATTGGTTGACCTTTTACTGTATAAACTAGTCAAAAATACATATATTAATGATCTACTTTTTTTCTTGCAGGAGCATTGTGTGGCATTTGTGTAGTGCAAAGGATTGGCAAATACAACAGCTTCCCCCTTGACTACTCAGTGGAACGGTGAGTTCTGAACTGTCAGGCATTGAGCTGCCACTCATACACAATGTGAAGAACAGGTACAACAGTGAAGGGGATTCCTATAAGACCAATATTTCAGACAAATCACAAGGTGGACAGAATTATGGGAATATGCAATGTGGATAAAAACAGGGATTAATTAATTAAACATACAATGTAATAATGCAAGGGTTAACTGTCATGGCTGTATTATCTAAGTCACATATTAAATGTAAAATGTTACCATTGCATAGGCATTTTATCATTTAGGTAAAAAGTATTTGATAACTGGTCATTTGAACTAGTAGTAGTGCTGGATGCACATGCGATGGAAGACTGCACTGTGCGTGCAGAGCTGGGCTATTCTACTGAATTCTTATAAAGCGTGTTGCTAGCAGATCTATCATCCATGTGTGTAATTGAAGAATGAGCTGCTGAATGCATTAACAAATGGAATAATTAGGCATACTGTTAACAAAAATGCCTTAAGACCTTTACTATGTCCATTTCCCCCGTTCCGAAATTCAAATTTGACCATAACTTGCCCTTGGAAATGTTCCCGGAATTTTCCAACCCCTTGCAACCCTACATCATATTTGTGGGAGTATGTTAGAAGGGACACTGCTGCAGATATGTCGTCCACACTTGACAGCAGGACAACCCTTCTCTGGTTTTCCTCCCTGATAACCAAATCCAGTCAAGAGCCATTTGGTATCTCGCATGTAAAACACAGAACAGTATTGTTCCAGATCTGCAGTGTGCTGACAACATGACTCTTTCAACCCTGGAGTTACTCCAGTGACAGATGAGCCAAATGAGGAGTGAAGTTACCAACCACTCAGAAATGAAGAGGGTTACATTTCAGTACGAGACTGAGTTAATAAACAGTGGTGAAAAGTATACAAGCACCTGATGCCAACTCACATCGCAATGGGTATTCACCTTTTAAAAAGAAGAGAATATTTGCAGTTATTTTTGATGTCTGAGGACAATTCATATCTCTGCTCCAGTGTAGCTATTTTTAAACTGGCGCAAATATCAGGGGATCTCTCTTCCTCTGTTTTTTCCCACCTCTCTGTGCCTGTCTCTTCGGTTATCCACGTCCGATTGAATCTCATTGACTTGCTCTGTCATAGGAGGATGATTAATTAAGGGCTTAGAAAGACATTAATGTATGTTGCATACAGTATGTCCCTTTGTCCTTGCATGTTGTGGTGAATCATTCTGATGAATAAGTACTACCCGGACTATGAAATGATTGTATAATATCCTCTGTGGCTCTACAGGAGCTTCTTAAGTCATGAATGTTGTAGTGACATCATCTGGTTTAACTCAGTTTTGGCATGACATTTTAGCCTTAGTTTTCAGTTTTTTTTGCAATTTGAAAGACTTGGTTGTTTTCCGATAGGGGAAGTCTAACTATAGACGATACAGAGTTTCATTATGGCAAGTGTCAGGTTGTTGGAGCTTGAGGTAGGGTTACTAGACTTCAGGATATATTTGCCTCTTCTGCATATACAGTACAGTAGAAAATGGAGTATATTGAATATAGTGATGTTTTTTAACAAATATCTCTAACTGTTGACTAATGGTGCCATAATAAAATACATACCAGGGAATTCGTTTAGCAATGTGGATACAATGACCTAATAAGAAATGTTGAAATAGTACAAATAAGAATTTGAAAATAACGCCACTTTACTGTAATGTAGCCTTAAAAAAACAAGAAAAATAACAGTTCTCATGGTATAATATCCAAAATCTAAGACAATATCCACTCTCACGACATCAATATGATATTGAGATATATTTTAGTACTATTTCTGCATAAACTTTGACTATTACGGAACTGTAACACTAAACGCCTCGAGTAACACTTAAGATCTCACATTTCAATTTTTCCTCAAACATTTTACGAAGCAAAGAGTCGTTATCATTCATAGAGAGCCAGCGACAGCTCAGACGACGGTGGTGTTGTTGACAAGAGGAGACATTTATCGCCCACTTGCACTCCTCTTTAACAATTTCCATTTTCCTTCTGGGCGCTAGGGGGTAGGAACTGTTGAGTAGAAAAGGAATCCCGCCTGGAGATGATTCAGTTCACCATGGGTTTCTACACGGGGGCTGTGCCTAGTGGCGCTCAGGTGACGGCACCACGCCGTCTTTGTTAGGCCTTACCCTCCCAGGGTGTAGGTCGAGAAAAAAGTATGAAAAGGCATAAAGCAGCTGTCAGCCCTGTCTGTCTCTTTAACGTACTGGCTCCTTAAACCACAGACAGCATGCATGACCGGTGTTAGCTTCTGTATGGGCCCCAAACTCACACTATACAGATTTTGCACTTGGCGAAAGAAGAGGCAAAAGACTGCAAAATAGACCTGTTAGGTATACCAGAGCTTTATATGTTAAATAGTAAGCAATTGGCTTGTTCTCTGTGTGCATATTTATGGCAGCCGTTTGTTTAGTGTAACTCTGGTTTGAAAGCAACACATGGCCTTCTGCTTCAACCTTACTTCCATTATTGTAATGAGTATTTAGTGCAGCATTGGCAACACTCATCCAGCCAAAGTGTGCTATTTTATGTAGTAGAGTGAGGCATTTGGAAAGCTTGGCGCGCTGTATATTCTTGTATATGTATAAAGAAAAGACTAATTTATTGCACATTTTCCAATGATAAGGATTTGGCCACTATGGAAACCTGGACAATCATGGGACAATTTGGATTGAAAACCTAGAAAAAAGACAGTATGCGGGAAATGTAAACGATCCTCTTTATGAATCCACTGTTGAACAGCATTTGGAAATGTGCACACTGTGCTTGGTTGCGGGTTACATTGATGTCTACGATACATCAGTTGATACAGTGTCAGGTCCTCTTTGAGTGATGGAAGATGAGAGCCGTGTGCAATAATAACACACCTTATTTCATCTTTTTTCTTGTTGCTGCTTCAAAGGCGGCTGCCTCGATGATTTAATCTTTATACCAGCAGGAACTAGGCCAGCAATATTTCATCGGTGTCATGAGCACACAGTTTTTTGTGTGTGCATCCAAACAGTTGTAAAATGAAATGGGAAGTACTGGAAGGCTGACCTTTGGCCCCACAGTTGGGATCTATAATTCACGATTGTGTGTCACAAAATACTGAGCGAATTGCTTGTTTGCCACTGTATGTCGCTGAAAAAGAACCAGGATTCTCGTGTATTTCTAGTTTTTCTATCCGCACATTGACACCAACAGCCTGTATTTACCGTATGTGCAGCTACACGTATTATTAACCTAATTATTAAGGTTTTATGCTAAATCCGTAGCAACCAGGGGCATTCCTAAAATTCTCCCGTCTCTTACTTTAGTTCAAGCATTTCAAGCTGAGGCCTTTTATAAAATACTCCAGCAGAGAAATCCTTACCTTCTATATGTAATGCCTAGGTTAACCACTCTGGACTGTTATATAGAGGTTTTGGGGAAAATGTGATGGCAACCCTGCTGAACTGACCTACATTAGTAAAGGATCTTTACAATTCCTCACCAAATGGCTTTTGATTATCCTAATGAAGCGTGTATTAAGTTCCGGCCACCTGAAATGATTAAAATAAAGAAATAATTTAGGTAACAAATGATATTGCCCTCTGAATCCCTATTAAAAAAACTGCAATTAATCATTACCTACAACTAAATGTCCCACACTAATGGTTCTCAATTATGGACACCATGGGCCCAATTTCAGACAATATCAACCGTCTATTTTTTTACATTTTGACCAAATCGGCACCATTAAAAGTATGCTTATATAGTTAATATAATTCTCTGTTAGCATGAACCCATTGCTGGACAACTATCACTGGATTGAATGCTTCTCGAGCAACTGTCTGAGTTATACAAAGTCTTCTTTATGATTTTGAAGCATATTTATAGGTTTTGATTTATGATGGATATAAGAGATAATGGTTTTCAAGGAAAACAAAGTCACTTTGAATCTATAAACGTTGATATTGCTTGTGCGTTCCGTATCAAGTTCGTGAAAAAGTATATTTTCCACCCAAAATGGTCTAATCATGAAGTAAGGGTTTCAAAGTAGACTCCAAAAAAACATGTTTAACAATGACTTGCTTCCTGTTATTTCCACAACCTTGACATGCACCTGCCCTGTCACCTCACGCAGTAACTTTGCCTCACATCTCTCCCTCAACCCCCTCCCTCTAAAACCCTTCTGGCATTGAACAGATGTAACAGATGTTCGTGTTTTCAGGTTCTCAAATGATAACCTGAAAGCAAGCGTTGTCTCCATTGTTAAGCTGGCGTAGGCAATTGGTCAACTCTGGAAAATATTCCAAAGAGTCTGAACAATCACGAAAAGATAAGATCCAAGATGAAGCTGTTTTTACATTTTGGGCTGTTGCCCTCAGTAGGAGCAGCTTGAAATTTAAGAAAAACAAAGTGTTCAGGGTCTAAATGTGAAGACGGCAGATCTGTTGTTGGTAAGAACTAGACATGCATGCCTTATTTTAGCTTTGGTTCTAAAATTCCTTCTAACATCTATCCTCTCTACTCATATTGCCGTCCCCTTAAACATCCACCTCTAATGTTTGCTTTTGTTAAACTGCTGATTTTTGACCCTATTGGCGAGTGTAGTCATGATCTAAAAATCAACATCAGCAATCTAAAAGCTCTTCATATAGATATTATGCTTTAATAGAAATCATATTCCTGTACAGGGTTTCCCACACATAGACTTTACTTGAGCGGGCCGCCCTGGCATATTAACGTCCGCCAAAGTATTTTTCGCGACCCCTTTAGGTTTAATCTTTTTGTATCCGTCCGCGAGCATGACGCCATCTGCGATCGATTAACTAGTGGACAACGATCCCTCCTTTACCTGTTCGCTCCGCTATCGCGTGAAGGGTCTGCTTCATGCGCTCCGCAGTAACTCCGCTGCGAGGCTCCGGCGAACAGTTCATGAGCGTTCTCCACTAGCACCCCCCCCCCACATTCTCTGCTACCATCACAA